TGGAACATACACAAAGGTCAAAACAGAGAACAGAAAATAAAACGTTGGTCCCCTGACAATTATGACATGCACACACTCATATATATACACATTATACATACAATAATATTTTGAAACAAAATTTCAGACAACCAACTTTTCTTATGTTATGTGTATGAGTGTATTGCTTGCATGTATGTAGGTGCACCCATGTCTTACACCACACTCGGGGTCAGAAGAGGGCATTGGATCCCCTGAAACTGATGCTATATATGGTTGTTAGCTGTCATGTGGGTGCTAGGGATTGAACCTGGGTCATCTACAAAAGCAGTGAGTGCTCTTAAGTACTAACCCATCTCTCCAGGACCAATAAGCACTCTTAAAACAAGTTAAAATCTTCAATTTCAGTCTTAACAAAATGACATGAACTGCAGCAGCATGCCAGATATGGACACTGATTTGAGAAAATCACAGCTGGCCAGGCCTTCACTTCCCCCAGAAGACTTTTCCACAAGATCAAGACAAAGCTAGTGCCTGTGTGAACATCACCTCTGGTCAGTCCAGGTTACCATCCAGACACCCAATACGTAGCTCCAAAATGAAACTGGGTTTCACTTCCATGAGGCAAAAATCCATTGTTCTAATGGGATGCCATGTCTTAGACTGCTGAAAAAACTTCCTTTCACATAACACGGAGATCTATCACATCTGCCTTTCTCACTGGCACTACACATAATTGGGACTTACAATGGGCCCTGCATCCTTCATACCTTCACCTGGGGGAAGGACTCAAAATTTGCACAAACTTGAACCTCAAACCTTTTCATGGGCAGATGGAATGATGTCTATTCATACCGCAGAGTATGACACTCAAAAGAAATGATTCTACCAAAGTCTAGTTTAATATATTTACCGAACTTGTAAACAGAGAATGGTTTAGGGCCATAGCTGACAGAAACACAGGCGAATCATTGAAATCCCCCTTACCCTGCATAATGACTCATAAAACCTCCATCTCGAAAAGTTCCTGAAAAACTACTGGGGAACATCAAGGCCAGAGAGTCAGCATTTTCAGTAGTTGTTATCGGTTAAATGTTAATCTTTATGTATATATAACGTTGCTGAGGGGCACTGTGAACCTTGTTTCAGGAGATTAGAGAGCCTCATAACTGTAGTTTAAAAAGTACATTATTTTTCTTTATGTGCACATGAATACCTGAGTGAATGTCATGTGTCTTTAGCTTCCTCAGAGGACAGAAGAGGAGGTCAGATTCTCTGGAACAAGAGTTACAAGCAATTGTAACAGACATCACTGCTGGAAACTGAACTCGATCTCTGGTGAGCTGCAAATGCTGTCAACTGCTGAACCATCTCTCCAGCCCCATAAGTGAGCTTATGCTCACTTTTTTTCACTCTTTTTGAGAAAGAGTCTCCCTGTAGCCTCAGCTGGCATGAAACACTACGTAGACCAGGCTGGTGAGAACTTAAAGAGATCTACCTGCCTCTGCTTCTGGAGCATGGGGATTAAGATTGGGATTAAAGGCTTGCCCACCACACCCAGCTACTGCTTAAGTTTTACAAATCTCTATATTCCCTTCCTGAGAAAATATCAATTTAGAAGAAATACCTATGAAACAATCCATCTCTACCTCAGGCTCTTAGATTTTTCCCCCCCAACATGTTCTCTGAGCCCCAATTGATAGCCTTCTGTGCTCTGATGACATCTAACACAAAGGAACAAGGTGTAATTGGGGAAACAATTGTTCAGCCCATCCTCAAAGCAATCTACTGATACAGCAATCCCCATTAAAATTATGACAAAATCCATTACAGAAATTGAAAAAAGAATTTCAATTTTTATTGGGAAGCACACACACACAAAAAAAACCAGGATAACTGAAACAATCTTCAATAATAAGAGATCTTCTGGAGACATCACCATACTTAATATCAAATAATACCATAGAGTTATAGTAATAAAAACAGATGGAACTACCATTAAACCAGACACACTCGTCAATGGAATAGAAGAGAGGACTTAGGTTTGAGTCACATACCTACAACAACTTCCTTTTTCAGAAAGGAACCCAAAATACACACTGGACAAAAGACAGCATGTTGAAGAACTGGTGGTAGTCAGACTGGATTGCTACATAACAAAGAAGGAAACTGCATGCCTATCTCTCACTATGGTATTA